ACGGCCAAAGAAGAATGTCGATACTGCTCATCATGCAGGTACTGAGATTTAATACATGCCAATTAAAAGTTCACTTTTTATATATTTCTTAAATTAGGAAATGTTGAAGACATTCTTCTGCTTTTTTTTTTTTTTTGAACAAGATACGGACTAAAAAATAACCAAAATTATTCAAATGATACAATCATACAACCTCCCAAGAAGGGAGAAAAATGAAAGAAAGAAAAGAAAAAGAAAGAACCCAAAGAGGAAAAACAACCCCAATGAACAAGATGTGGATAAAAAACAGAAAAGGGAAGAAAAGCTTTAGATAAATCCGGAGCTTCAAACTTTCAGAATAAGCCTCCTGCTTGCAAGGAACCAGCTTCAAAAAGAAGTTGAGGATCTTTAACCTCAGGAACATCTTAAGAATAACTCCAAGAAACAGGGCTTTGTATTCTGAAAAAATATGGCTCAAGCTTACTATCACGAACAGCTTGAATCTCAACTTTGTCCTTATCCAAGCTATGGTTTTGCTTTTGGTTATAGGTTCAAATCATAGTGCCTACTTTCTGCTTATTTAGGATATTAAATGTTCACTTTAATTTTATTCAATCACATGGTATTTTGTTACATTTGTCCAAATTCGTATTGTTTGGCCCAAACACACAGTTGTCAAGAGAAATTGAAAATTAGTTTTTGAACACTATTCCCAAACGTGCTTTTTATGTCTGAATGGATATATCCAAAAAACTACTTTTTGAAATGCCTTTTGAACACTAGTTTCCACCCGTGGTTTAGAAGTTTTCTTTTTCATTTTACATCTACTTCTGGTTTTTATATATTAAAATTCATTAGAATTTGAGTGACTAGTTTGAGTTGATTATTAATGGAGTACAATTACAGAAGATGACAGAAGCGTCATGTAGAAGCATTTGACCTAGCTTTAAAGTACACGTTCTCCCAATTCCTATTCTTCTCATTGAATATTATTTGATTTCTCTCCCATAAAGCTCTCAAAATATAGATTTGATACCATTCTCCCTTATTAACTTGTTTTTCTAAACCCCTGATGGCAAATAAGCTGTTCCTCATTCGTGCTTGCTGAAACTAGTAAAACTCCTTCTGAGATTAAACAAGCCATATAGATCATTATGCCAGGTTTGTTCCTTCCAAAGAGAATATCCATTAAGAAAATTTTTGACCCTTATTAGGTACTTTTCCTTTCCAAGCTTGACCTCCTGCTTTCAATTGCTGATCCTGTATCTGCAAGCTTAGAAAATATCAAGGCTTTGATGGTTGGAGTATATTACATATCTTAGGAGCCAAATAAAAGTCGTGCACGTTTTTTGGTGAGAAAAGTGAAGAACACTCTTTTGGTGGTCTGCTTTTGGTTACTTAAAGAAAGTGGCTTCAGCCTCAAACACTCGAACTTCGATATTTATAAGAATCTACACCTCTTCGTAATTGCAATCCCTTCGCTCAATACTTAGCATAAGACCCAACAAATTGACTATCAATATTAATCGGAACATTCAATATATCTCAATGGTTGTTCCCTCTAGAATTGGTTTGTACAACCGAATTTTTACATTTCTCTGTCTCGGACTTCTTGTCGGGACTTAACTGGTTACCCTGATTTTGGCTCGTGGGCTATTTTTAATGGTTTTGAGATGCAATTTAATTGTTGAAAACTTGGTTGCTCTTTTGGCTTTTTGTTGCTATATTTTCTTTCCTTGTCTTTTTGGTATTCACTTTTTGACTATCAACTTTACAAACAGAAGAGAAACAACCACCACCTCCTCCAGCGCATCAAGATTCTGTTGCACCGAAACCATCACAGGAGCCCGACACAAACGAAGTCAGTCGTGAAAGTTCAAAAGCGTGTTTGGGCAGTGGGAATCAGTGTGAAGCTTCTGGTGGAGAAGCCTCAGATCAAACAGAATGGAACGGTTCACAAGACGCTTCGGTATCGGATTGCTATGTTTCAAGCCATGTCAAGTCAGTGAAGAAAGTTTTTGTGGAGCGGACCGAGAAGTACGGGATTCCGGAGCTCGAAAGACTATATACTCAAATAATGAAGGGTGTTTTCAAGATTAAAGGTAAAGGAGGCAAGGATGATCCTAAGGATTCAATTTTGAAGTTTTTGTTGAAATTTGCGGAGGATGAATCTAATTTCTGATTATTATTATTATTATTATTATTACAAATGAATCCTTAACCCCCACCACCACAAAAGGAAAAAAAAAAGGTTAGAAAAAAAGAAAAAGAAAAAGAAAGGTTTCCTTTATTAGGTTTATGTAAAGTCGGGAATTTCATTGCAATGGAAATCTGTTGAGTGATTCTCTCTCTCTCTCTCTCTCTAAAATTTGTGTTTGGTTTAATGATTAATTATGTTCTAATGGTTTCACTGTGAGATTGTAAGTGGATTTAGAATGATAAAAAATTTGCTTTAGAATTAGGAGGAAGCTGAGTTCAGTGAGAGATAAAAATGGGAAATTTGAAATTTTGATCCCTCCAACAATTTGAATTTATAATCCCATTTTGAAAAAAAATTAATCCATGATCCCACTTTTCCTTATTTATTAATAATTTCATAATTTTTAAATATAAAATTACCGTAGTACCCTCATGTTTCAAAATCAACATCTCCCTCCACAAATCTCTTTACAAATCTTTTATTCCCTCCACAAATTTCTCACAATAATTAATTCCAACCTTAAAAAATCTAATTTTTAAGAAAAATATCTAACTCAAATAGTAAATTAAAAGTTTAATATGGAAAAAATAAAAAAAAACTTACATAATTACATAATTTGTGCGAATTTAATTACAAAAAAGACAAGATTACAAAAATCTCGGGACACTATTGTATTAAATGCTCAAGGGGAGAAAATGCACAAAAAAAAAATTTCTGGAATTTGGGATCCCGGACCGGGATTGCAGAAACCCGGACCAGGTTACTATTCGGTCCGAGATTCTGCAATCCCAGTCCGGGATGGTTCAATCCCGGACCGGGATCCTTCTAACCCGGACCGGGATCCTCCAATCCGGGATCCCAANAGTTTCTTTTAGCCTTTATTGTCAATTAAATCTCGGTCATTTAATGCAATTTTGGCATGACATTTATGAAACCTTAATTTTTTTTGTAATTAATTCCGAACAAATCTTATGCATTTATTCTTGGATTATGCAAATCTTTTTTTCACCCTAATTTAGTTGGAGAATTTAATCTACAAATTTTTTTTGTGTAGATTCGTTTGTTATAAATTAATCTATATTAGATTTATATTAGATTCAAAATTTAAAAAAAATGCTAAGGGTTGAGAGAAGAGATTGGTGGATAACTTAAAATAAATAAGGATATTTTGGTAATTTTACAAAGACAAGAAGTGAAAAGGGGTCACAAATTAAAACAGTAGGGGTCACAAATTAGTTTTTTTAAAAAAGAGGTCAAAAATCCAAATGAATTATATAATGGGGTTAGAAACCCCAATTTCCCGATAAAAATGTTGCCTTTTCCAGTCTTTTTTAAGAAACTTCTTTTTAGAATATCATCAAACAAATGCAAATTCAAGAGTCTAGATTTGAGGATTGATCAAATTGCAAATTCATAAACATGAAAGTAATAATTATTCCATTTTTCTATAAATGTATAATAAAAAATTGGAGTGCTCCTCGTCAAACGTATTTTAACTTTGGACTTATTATAATTGAGCTCTTAATTTTGTTCGTATGATTTCAGGCTATAGTGTCGGTCCGTTCATTGATCCATTCCCTAATCTGTCACATAATTTATTATTGATATACTTAATATGAAATATATTAATCACACTAAAGGAATAATTCATTTTAGATCTTCGAGTTAAAAATTTTGGTTTTAATTAACATGATAGATTTCATTTGATATCACTAATATATTTGATATCACTAATATATTTGATATTTTGTAACTTATATAATTTAATATAAAGTATACCAATAAACTAAATATATGAATAATCGGCATATCACAATAAATTTTTGGGTTCAAGTTTTAAAGATTTTGTTCAAAGTAATATTGTAAATTTTCTATTTATATATCAAGTATAGCAATGATATATTTCATATTAGGTATATTACTGATATAAATTGATATATGTAATAGGAAGTACATCAATCACAATAAATATATTAGTGATATATTTAATTTTCGGTATATCAACGCGATGGTTTTTCTCATTTTTAGAAAATCGCCAAATTTTAGAGTATCACCGACTTTGAGTTGGTCATCTAGTATTTGCTATATTTACAATTAATTATTTGCTATATTTACCAATCGTCCTATAAAATTTAGTTAATTTGTCTACATAGTTAATAATTTGCGTGATCAACGATATTGAAGCAAATAAAATGATATTATCTTCGCTATATATAACTTATCTGCTTGTCACAAAATGACCCTCTTATCACTACCTATTGTTTATTTTCTGAATAGTAACAAAGAATCAATCGAAGAAATGGATATTCTGACTCAAATCTATAACGAACATCTTTACCCTTCATCGTAAAACTCTAATTTTTAATTTGAAAGATCGTTAATAATTTGGATAAGACAAATAAAAATATCAAGATGCTATTATTTTTTTTAAGTGATATTATTTTGTTTTTTAAAAATTGAGATATTAATAAGATGAAATTATTTTATATAAAAATTTAAAAAATTTTCTTATTAAAAAGTTTAAACTATATTATTTTTTAAAGAAAATGATACTGTTTTATTTTAAAATTATAATTATTACAGGGTGTTAAATTTTTTAGATCAACATGTCGATATTTTCATATGTCTATAAATTGGATATCGAGTGAAACAGTATCATGTACTAGAAAAAAGAAACAAAGAAACAATATAGTATAAAAAAAATATTAAAAAGATATTACTTAAATTATTTAATGATGAAATACTTATTTGTTGTGTTTTTTAAAAAATAAATTTCTTAAAGTTTTTCATTCATAAAATTTGAGACGATTAAAGATGGAAATTTAAGAAAAACCAAATGTTTCACAGTGATAGGAAAAACTGAGAGGAGCTGAGAAAAACGAAGAGCTACCAAATTTCTTGAAAATATTTTCGTCTGATCTTCATCTGGTGACAGTTAACGAGAGTCTGATTCCACGATTATAGGTAATTTCTCTTCCTCCGTAATCTTCAATTTCATCTCATCATGTCTGAAGTTATCTAGGTTTTGATGATCTCGAGTTCAAATTGTCGTATATGATATGATTCCCGAACGCCATGGCCCTAAATCGCCTTGCTCCCTCTCATATTAGTTTTGCGGACTCCATGTTTTCTTCTCTGCCCCTTGTGCCCTTATATTAATTTGCGTTTTTGTTTGGATGATTTTGCTTGATTTCACCTTGCTCATGCTGTCTATTTGGCTCTTGGTAGCCTTGGTTCAATTTCTATTTAAGAAAAATCAGAATGATAGAAATTGGAGGGGACTTAGGAATTTCGTATAATTTTACCTATAAGCAACTTTCGATTTAGGATTAACAATTTATCTCTTTCTCAAATCTCAGGCACATCTCCGGCGAGCAGACCGTCCTGCGTCGGTGACGCAATCACGCACCGAATCCAGCAGGTTTGGCGTCAAGACTTGCGGCGGTGGTAGAACTAACACCCACGGAACGTCTCTCTCTTGCACCGGCGACTCACCCAAACACCGGATGCAGTAGCTGCATCGGCACGACTACTTGTATAGGTACTGAATATGTAATTTAGGAATGCATTTTTTCAAGGTGGCACCTAGTATGGTTTATAACTCTTGCTTTTGTTTTTAATTTGACTTCAGTTGCCGTATAGTTTATGTATTTGAATGTTTCTACACTTGGTTCCTCCTTATTTATATGCTCAATTCAATAATCTCACTTGTAACAGTTTATTTGTAATGGAACCATGTTCCTAAGATGACATCTATCAATGATCGATCATATTTGCAGTTCTCGGCATCTATGTTTCCATCTCTAAGCAGGGCAAGTACAAGAACAAACATGCACTGCTTCCCAAGGAGTTTCGCTACTGCTGCATCCCCTATTGTTCCAATGCAGCATCCATCTAAAATGTATGAATGAGATGGTTATTATTATTTGAATGTGGATTGTTAGAAATACTCTTTAGTTAACAATATTTCAATGTTTATATCTGGTATGCAGGGAAGCCCATATCTGGTATATCTTACCTGATGAAGTAAAGAGTACACGTCTTCAGAATCAATATTTAAATATATTATCACCGGATGAAAAAGAGAATATTATGAAAATGGATGGAGGGGAGCTTCAAAAAAGAGCCTTGCTAGCCCGTGCTTTGGTTCGCACTTCCATTTCAAGATGTAAGTCTTCTTATCTCATTTGTAGTTTATTTTTAGGTTAATTTACGCACTCAGTCCTTAGGGTTTTTAGCATGATCTTTAGGGGGGTGGAGGGAGATAGAGGGTCTGTATGGGATCTTATTAGATTTAATGTTTCTTTGTGGGGCTCTGTTTCTAAGCTTTTTTGTAATTATCAAATTATCAGATAGGTTCTGTTCTTTTGGATTGGAAGCCCTTTCTTTAGGTAGGGCTTCTCTTTTAGGACTTTTGTTTTTGTATGCCTGTGTATTTGTTTTTTATTTTCATTAGTCTGAATGAAAAGTTCGGTTTTTTATAAAAATAAAAATAAAAAAGTTTAAATTTAGTTTCTATGGTTTAGTTAAACCTCATAAATCGTCCCTAAAACTATCGTTTATCCACCCAAAAAATCAACCTATTTTCTTCTAGTTTTACTAGCCTTGAATTCTAATATAGTAATGACAAGTATGATTGGTGTGTTTTAAATAAACCATAGAGACCAAATTGAAGCTTTTGAAATCATAGGAACTATATTGAACTAAACTCAAACCATAAGGACTTAATTAAAACTTTTAAAACTATAGATACCAATTGAAACTATGGTCAAATGGCCCAAACCATAGGGACCAAATTTATGATTTAACCTTTTTTCCCCCTAATATTTTAATACTTGCACAATGAGATCTCCTAGGATGGCGGGACACGGTGGTATTATCCATATATTTTAAATATTCCATGCAAATATTTTACCGTTATGCTTGAAATATGCTATTTTCTTTCTAGATCTGACACATTGTCAAATTGATCCACAAGCCTTGAAGTTTAAAAAGAACATGTTTGGGAAGCCTGAGGTGATTTCTCTTTGTTTCTTATTTATGTGCCGATTACGTTCGACTTTGTTTACTAGTTAAGGATTTTTGTTGTTGTTCTGTTTAACTTCATTTTTTCATTTATTCATATTGATTTGATATGTCGTATAATGAATAGTTAGACTGGCAAAATAGCAGCGAACAGTGTCTACCACCATTGCAATTCAACATCTCACATACTTCATCCTTGATAGCATGTGGAGTGACTCTGAATTCTTCAGTAAGTGTACTAAATTTACATGCACAATGCACATGCATATTTGTTGCTTATGCAATATCTACTTTGTGTTTTGGTCTTTGAACTTCCAAAATATCTACATTGTATTTTTTTCTTTCGAGTAAATACTTTGTATTGTCAAACATACTTAACTGGTGTGGTATTTGTAATTCAGATTGGTATAGATGTGGAAGAGAAGACACGAAAGATTAAAAACGACATCGTAGCTTTTGCTAAACGATATTTTTCTCCGAATGAAATAGAAGTTTTATCTGCTATTTCAGATCCTGAAAGCCAGCGGCAGGAATTTATAAAATTATGGACTCTGAAGGTGAGCACGGTTGCCCGAGCATCCATGAAGCATCAATTTTCTACTTGCAGCTGCATTAGAGATTTTAGGCAAGTCTGAAAAACAAAGTACAGGTTACTTTATTCTTTTGTTGTAGTGAATTTTATTAGAACTTTTTGCATCAGAGATGCTGCATGTTCTTTTGCTTCTTCCAATATTTTCTACTTCTAAGCTATAATCTGGATAATATTGATTGATCATTGGAAATTTCTGACAGTCTACGACTCTACAAAGTCCCTTATGCATTTGAAAATTATTTTTTCTTCATTTTTCTTTTTGTTGATGTAACTAGAATTCATATAGAAAAACTTTTGTAGGAGGCATATGTTAAAGCGTTGGGTAGGGGCTTCTCAGCTAATCCTTTCAAGACTTTCACTATTCAGTTTAACACAACTGCTGGAGGTTCATGTCTTCCTGGGTGTATAACGGATGACGAGGTAAGGTATTCATCAACACTTGAAGTAAATCTGAGAAAAACAGAAAGATTTGAAATGGAGGGCAAATGCGAACTGCTGTAATTGTTTAACAAGGTTTTTTAGGTTAATAAACATGTTTAGTCCTACTTTCAATCATTTAGTCCTTTTATCTTTAATATGTAATAATTTAATGCTTGTAGTTTAAAATTTATAACAATTTAGTCCAAAAAAAAAACTTTAATAGGTAACGATTTAATTCCTGCCATTTATAATTTGTAATGGTTTAGTCTTAACTTTTATAAAAAAAGTTGTCAGGTTGAATATGATTCTTTAGTTTGTAGTAATTTAGTTCCTCTAGTTTAAAGAACACATTTTATCTTGAGCAATTTATAGATCTACTTTAGCAAGTAACAAATTTTCCTTCTGGTGAATATACTGTACCTGTGAATTTTCCTAAATGTTTTGGGCTATGTTTCGCTAGGCTTCTGAAATAAGTGTAGAGTCTTGTGATGATCCTGGGAACTGCTCGAGAGATCTGACGTTTGCATTGATGGAGTTGTCAGGTTCTCATTATGCTGCTGTTTGCTTGGAAAGAGACAGAAACATTAGAGGTAAAACTCACTTCTTTTACTAGTACAAGGAGTGGAGCAGAGATTTGAACCTCCGTCCTTTTAAAAGTTTACTAATATCTTGACTAGTCAAGCTGGTGAAATTCAATTTGTGACATTTGACTATTGCTTGTATTCCGGTAATGTACAGGAGAAGCGAGTTCTCCCATGAAGTTGAACGTGTGGAGAACAATTCCATACGTGGAGGATGAATGTGTTTCTGGAACTGAGGCAGCTCTGCCGATCAGTGGCTTTGCTTAATCAAGTGTAAAGTTTTCTTTAACTTGAAAACATGCAACACGGTTGGGTGTCGCTCGCTCTCAAAGATCGTCGATACAGAAAGGAAAAGAAGACATTACGGTTGAACTTATCTAGAGCTCTCATTTGGAATGAATGGGACACTAGGATTTTTCAAGACAAAGAAAAGTCCTAGGAAGACCTTTTTGATGTAATCCTTTTGTTGACTCTTTAGGGGTGCAAAAATGAGCATCACTTTTGTAATTACAGCTTAAATTTTCTCACATTCAATTAGAGAAGTTTTTGTAATCCTTTGGGTGAGTTTGCCCTTTCTTAACATTTCATCAATGAAATTATTTTCAATCCAAAAAAAGAAAAAAAAAAAAGAGATGTGATACTAGAGTTCCATTACAATCGGCATACTCAATAGTTTAAAAGTGTCTTCAATATTTTGGTGGTAAGGGCTTGAGATGTTTGTAGTTACTCTCGAGTCTGAGTTTCCAGCTTCGGTTCTAAAAGTGCTTTTAATGGGTTGGATACAAAATTTTCATTTGTTCAAAGACATAAACTTCGGAAGGAGTTAAAAGAAAGAGGAAGAGGGGCTGAATTGGAAAAATGAAAATTCAATATTTGAATGAAACACACCAATAAACCTTTTAAAATCATAGCGAACTCGTAATTCATATAAATTAAGTACTTTTTTTCTAATTCTATCTTCTACCAGTCAAAAACTTAATAGTGATAAGCAAAAGATAATTCTATCTTCTACCTGTCAAAAACTTAATAGTGATAAGCAAAAGATGGGTGTCGGTAAACATCTTATCTAAAAAACGTTTTTATTTTCAAAATTCAGAACTATTGTTCAGATAATGACGAGGTACATGTAAAGAATATTACCTTTGGCATAATTGCATCACAAGTCCAAGAAAAAGCAATTTCATTTCTTCTGCAAACAAAACAAAACAAACTTCAAAAAATAGTTTCCAAATGAAGCCTACCTTCAAATTTTGGCCAATATCTCTTATGGATGTTTGTAGAAATAGATCACAAATTGAAGAAATTGTTAGAAAAATTACGTATAATTTTTTAAAAATTCAAAATCAAAATCAAACGAATCCTAAATTGGAAAAACCAACCATGAACACAAGAGAGTGGGATGATAACAAAGAGAACAAAATTGAACACAACTTCAAATAGTTGTCTTGATTGCTCTCCAAAACCTTTCTTTTTTAGGTTCATTTGTTCCATCAGCAAAATAAAAATAAAAATTATAATAATAATAACCCTTATACACCTAGGGTTAAAAGAAGTGTTGGAGAGCATAAGTTTGTCATTTTTGGAGGGCACAAAAGATAACCATTACAGGCAAAGCCATACTACAAAATTCTACATTAAAGGCCCCCTATAACTACTACTTGCGCTGGCTTGCTATACTCCATAGCTGACCTAACATCTTCGTTGCAGCCGATGCCCTCGCTTCCCGTGGATTCGAACACGTCTCGCTGCAGCTTGAATACTCAAAATCCAGCCCTTTTACAAATACATTAGCTTGGAATCCACCTTCAAAAGAACAAGCAATACTATTCCATATTAGTTGCTGACTAATGATTTCAAAGTGCAAGTACTGCATCATCAGACATGCACATATAGAAAAAACCAACCCACCCCAAAAGGCAGGACCAGAAAAAACAGGAGAGAGAGAGAGAATGAGGCAAAAAATTTGCAATCCATTGTACTCGTTTTAAGTAAATACTTTATACTTGTAGAATATTTCAAGATCGAAGATGGAGAGTCCACCCTATAAATCGGATGAAAAAAGGAAAATTTTCTATTCTGGTATGACTATTGTCAGCCACGCCAGCATCATTTAGAAATGGTGGAGTCCAACAATATTAAAAAATTATATGTGGATGGATGGGTACGTCCTACAGAACTACTAGAGATTTTCCCAGCAATATATTGGATAATTCGTTTCATATGATTTACTTGAAAGACTTAATAGTGAACATTAGAAAAGAAGAATTTAATGTTTCTCCATCAGTAATTAACCAATTGAATCTACAAAGATTTTACCATCTGACGACGAAATGCTGTAAACTGGCAATATCCAATTATTTTTATGACATATAGCATCCAGTTCCTGCCAAGTCAACAGATCACGATTAAAACTATAACTCCAAATGCAAACAAATGTGGAAGGAATGAAAGAAAAATGTATAGCAGACTACCAAATTCTCTTAAATGCCTGTATGCAATATTTAACATTAACTGTACATTCCAACAGCACCATTTTAGACTGTCTCTGAAACCTTATGCTAATTGCTTTTCGAAATTGAATTAGACTGTCTCAATATATTTATCATGCAAGATACAGTTCTAGTTAAACACCTGAAAAATAAAGAGGTCAATACACAATACATTTTATTAACCTAAGTTGGCCATACATAACAAATAGTATCTTAGCAGCAACCTCAACTGCATATCTAAAACAATGGCATTACAACTTACAAGCTTTTTTATGATCCATTCACTGCATCCTGGGTAAAATGTGAACATTTATTACTTTCAGGCCATCGCGACTTGACATTAATACTCGTGTCCCTCATCAAAGAAAGGAAAGTCATTCAAGAAAAAGAAGTCCATGTGTATATTACTGTTTAATTTGAAGAACCTAGTTGGCAGAGGGATCAATTAAGCCAATTTCAAAAAAAGTTCAAATTACAGGTACAAGAGATCAAGTTTCAAGTTGAAGTCTCTTAAATTTCGTTTTGGTTTTTTTTTTTACAACTATCATAAACAAAAAGTATAGTATCAACACCGATATTATTACTATACACAAAGAAAGAGGTGAACCAAGCACCTTACAAAACTTGAGGACCAGCTTATCTCCCTATACAAACTTCACACAAGATTCCTCTTCCCTCACACTTGCATCATTCCCCTACATAGACAATACAAGCATGGTCTAACCTAACTAACTTTCAAAGGATACATTTCACTTTCTACCCCTCCTCACGTACACTCTTACTATTGGAGGCCTAACATCATCCTGAAATAGAAAGATAAAATTTGTATTGACAACAAATCTCATATACTAAGTTTCAATTTTTTCTTTTATGAGGAACACATTCTTTCTATAATAAATAAATTAATAAATTTAAAAAAATAAAAAATCTATGAGATAGTAGGTGCCCGTTCCCAGTTACAAAAGATATTAAGAGAATGCTCTACAGTAAGAAGTCATAAAAATAGAAATGTCAGAAGTCTCTTCCATATGAGACGGACCATAAAGAAGTTCAAAAAATAAAATAAATAAATCCCAATATCGCCAAATGTAGCAAACAGCTGCAAAACTTTCACAGATTCAGGGGTTAACAGTGTTATCTTGCTGATGAATTGTTATACTTGTATTAACCACAAAAACCTTATTTTACCCGAAACTGATGACCAGAAACTCCCAAAACTGATAGCCTCTAATAGTAGCTGGGCAATTCTATTTGGTCAAATTCTTAGCAACAAAATCCTTTTTTTTTCTATACTGTATCTCATAAGTCAAAACCCCAAACTCCCTTTAACTTTTTAACTTCACCACTAGGTCAACCAGGGTAATAACTTCCCATCTTCCTTTCATTATAAGATCTTAAATAACAAGCCTAAAGGTTTTCTTACTAATGGTGTGCTCTTTCCAATATTTTTGCAAATTACTCTTCTAGCATGATCTACTCTAATTGGGAAGCTTTTATTGCTCCTTTGTAATTTTCACTAGTGTTATCTTGCTTATGACTGTATTTTATTTTATTTTGTTTTACTTTCTTATTTTAACTTTTTTGTCTCTTTCACCTCTTTGGAGTTTGTATCTTTAAATATTTTAGGTTCCTTTTCATATATCAATAAGTTCGTTTCTTGTTCAAAGAAAAGGTTTTCTTACTAATGATCACAATAATATATGTTATAGTGGTATCTCTATGGAAAAACAGAAGGGGCCTAAGACATAAGTGCCATGGACAACACTAAGACAAATAAAAAATATTTTTCTTTTCCTATATCAACGAAAAGTTGTTTCTTGTCCAAAAGAAAAATATATATATATATTAGGACATAAATATACCATAGACACAACCATGCAACTACACTTGAATATGAAGAGATGTAATATCATTATCACGGCTCACCCACCTGACATGGACTTCGTACACAGAGAACTGCTTCTGATAATCTCTTCCTCGTAACATATTGAGATGAGCAGTTTTCTTTAAAGCATTGATAAGATCCATCTTCGGCAGTATTTCTTAGACATACATCATTACAGCACTCAATCACAGAATCCAGCTTTATAACCAAATCATCTTCATCACCTTTAGCAACCAAAATATGAATGTAATTCAGATATTTTCTTTGGCTAAGTATGATGACTTATTGATTAACTCGATCGTACGGAAGGAGGTCAAAATAAAATCTAAAAAAAATTGAGGATCAGAACAGAATAAGAAAGCAAACCAATGGAACGAAGTAAAACTTAAATTTCAAATTTATGGTAAAAGTCTTTTTGGAAGTGTTTTCAAGGCACTTCTTTTAAATGCTTAAAAAACACACCCAATGATGTAAGCTACATGTACTTTAGTGTTACTTAAAAATTAAAAACAATGATGAGTACGTAGATTAAGAGAAGCACCCAGTACATGTTTTTGCTAACAGCACTAATACACTATCAAACACTTTTCTTTTATCTGAAATACTAGGATGTACCAATAAAAATTTTGAATTTCTTTCAGTACATATTTAAATTTAATTCTGAATTTCTAATATTACTTGTTCTAACTTTACACAATTCATCGATTCACAAATATTGTTGAAAATTTAGCTCAATCTAAATATCAAACAATTTAGTAAAAGCAATATTAATATCAAATATCAAATATTTTGATGCGGACATGCGATGCTATACTGCGACTACTAAATTTATACATTTAATCTAAGTTTCAGACTCCAACTTAACAACAAGATCAAATACTTAAGACTCAAAACGTGACAGGGTAAGGCAAGAAAAGAAAGAAAGAAATGTAGAGAGCAAAAGAGAAAAAGAAAGAAATTTTTTTTTTAATATAACTGATATTGCATATTCTATTACCATGGAGTTAGTAAGAAAAATATTATGAATCATGTTAGTCAATAACAACCTAAAGAAAAATTGTTTACACATGTATGTACCATATTTACAACATCTTAAAGTTCAATATTACTTTATAAAAAGAAATCGCAAAACACTAAGTACTATTTAGAAACTTACTTTTTGCAGAAATTATGAAACACTTTGACACAGTTTTTTTGCATAAAGTGTTGTTAAATAGAACACTTAAACACGAGTTCAAACATGCTCCAACTCTTAACCCAAGTAAAAAATTTATTGACTTTTTGCATACTAATCCTTCCAGTTTCAAGCATAAGCTTTTCAGAGTTATGGTAACAAAGAAAGAAAAAAAAATGCCTTTTTTTACGCTATACACAATGCATGGTCTTATTTTGCGAAAGAAAATAGATAGCACCTGCAAATAACATTCACCAAGAAAATAGATAGCACCTGCAAATAACGTTCACCAGACAAGGGGAGTGAAACTTTACTGCCATTGGCATCCCAGGATCCTGATGATCCTTAGAAAAGAGATCATGACGATCCTTCAAATCTTAGTCTCAAAGCAATACTGAAAAATAATTTAATCTTGGGTGCAGCACGGGATTATAAGACCATAAATGATAGATAGTTGAAGGTGCAACTCAATAACGAAAGTTTTGTAAGGTAACCGGAGAGTTCATCAAGTAAAATTGAAGCTGGACAGAGGATTGCTGGTATTTGGAGAAGGATATTATCTAAATTTCTAAAGGCTTTGTACTTGAAACATGTCAAACAAACAAAACAAAACAGGAAGAACAAAGGGAGGGAAGAGAAACAGTGCATCAAAACCATACCCCTTAATATTGTCTGCACCTTTTTATCACACTGAGCTATCTCATCTTCAATGATGCGCTGCTGATGGGACTGCAAACAGAAGGAATGGGTCAAAATAACGATTATGTACTATCGATATTCGAAAGGGCTCAATCTATATGAAACCCTCAGTCAAAGAGAGGGAAAAAGGATTGCTAAATACCATAGTTAGGTAATACATATATCAAGATACCATAGCAAGGTTGTGCGAAGGAGAACTTGAGATTTAAATCAGTTCACCACCCATTTCTCTTTTATAATTATGGTGGAAGCTCACAGTTCTTTATTATATATTACAAATTGTCATCATTTGCATTGTGCTGAACTTTGAAGAAAGTTTCTAAATTGAACTAAATTCATGGGACAAAGATAAACCCTAAACTTAATATATAATGAATGCGTATGTCTGTACCAGTTTATCCCTCTTTCTTATTAGAGCTCTAATTGCAGCTTGTGATAATGCTGTTTCTTTTGAAACTAGAATGGCCTGTAGTTTCGAAAGGTGCTCTATGTTTGATTGACAGGTGATAAGAGCATGATCACCGTTCCTATTTTGATCAAATGAAACATTGTCAGAGAAGTTTCCAGAAGCAATCTTTTCACCACTGCATTCAGCAATACACGGGTTTGTTGCCAATACTCCATCCTGGAATGTAAATCATGCCATCAGCTAAATTATAAATAAAATAAGATAAAGTTAAAATTAATTTATTAAAGCTATCAGATTATACAATCTGTAAGGCTTGAGTTATTGGGTCAAGATTATTTATTCACAAAATTATTAACTAGCACTTAGCCATGTGCTGATTGAAATTTTCCTTTGATTAACAAGCTCATACACAGATTTTTTTTATATGAAACACAATATTTCGTTAATTTTGGAAATATACAAAAGGCTTCATAGGCAACTTACAAGAACTCCTTCCAACTATAAATAAGGTCATTGAGATTGTAACTACTAAAGGGTGTGTGATAACATTTACACCAGCTAAGAGCTAACACTATAACTCTGTCAAAAAAAACTCAAAAGGTAGGGATAATTAATCTTGAAGTAAAGATGTGGCCATGCAAGAATTTGACTGCAAGAACTCTTACTTTGGTTCCAAGTAAAATGAATACTGAATTCAAAAACTTAAACTAATAATTTGAATTATTTTATTCAGTCAAAAATCAAAATCATTTATAATAATTTTTTTTATTGATTTAAATGCATAATAGTAAAAATTCTTGGTTGAGAGTTCTTATAATAGTAAGATTGCATCACATTAAATCCTGGGAGAAATTTCAAGTTCTTTCATTCTTAAAAAAAATCTTAAGCATGACTATAACATACCCGTCCCTCAAATAAGAAAGAGGTATACTAGTAATTGTTATATATCTCATTCCTATTTCGATTTTAGACAGTTTTAGTAAACAATATCTATGGGTTTCTAATTCCAATTCTAGAAAATTTTAAGTAAAAAACGCAAAGAAATAATATTCTCGTTCTAATTGATTGCATTATGATTCCTCGTAAGTAAATAGAACCTAATCATTTCCTTAGCTATTAAATTTATAAGTAGGTTGTTAAGTAGTTAAATGTAGGTTGTTAGGTGGTCGAAAGTTGTTTTTGTGGCCTCTTTTTATGAATAGAGGTTGTGGTTCTCTTTGAGAGATACTTTTCATTTGATTCAATAAAATTCTCTACACCTGAATACATCACATTTCCTACCCATTTAATATTGATTAACACTAGCTCGGCCTTGTGCAAATTTCCAAGCGCACAAATGAGAGAGGTGTTAAGGTATCTATAAAATATTAAATTTATCATAACCCATCAATTTAAACTTTTGAGTTGATTGGTGATTTAACAAATACAAAATGAAGCAAAGATATGTATCTAAGATCACTAAGATAAATATATAATAAAGACTAGATAAGTATATGAAGAGACTTCAACGTATTACCTTGATTTTGATACCACTTTCTGAGGCATTCGATTCATTCCCTGTACATGGGATCATCACTTCATGGCCATTGTCAACTTGTCGAGCATTTCTTTTCTTTGTATATGAAACAATAACTTGGCTAGTATTGGGTACATCCTTTTTCTTGTCCACTGGATAGGAGGGAACCAAGTCATCCACGTTAGTAATCTGGGGCCTGCAGATTGCATCATGCAAACTACCCACATGATTAGTTTTATTGTGCAATTTCTCCAATCCTTCACCATAAATGCTAGTCCCTTTACTCAAATCGTTTGCACTATCACCATCTTGGTCGTTTTGAATTTCAAGCTTCCTAGGTGCATCTATTCTCTCAAGCTTGCTCAAGTTTTCATCCATCTTTTCTCCACTTACGACTCGCAAACTATCTCTTGAAGTTTCCCTATATGAAAGAGAGGATAAGAGATATTAGCATGCAATTACCTTTTCATATACAAGTCAAAAAGAATAATAATGCTTCCCATTACGTAGCAAAATTAACTTCCTTTATTCTCACTTATGTGATTACTCCTTAATATAGATATTTCAATCATAAGAAAATGCTGAATTGAACTATTAAAATGGGAGATTTAGGATAAATGACTGAGGATCGATGCCTGGAAATCAAGGAGATTTGCAGCCAAGATCTTAAACTTGCAAGTCAATTTTCCACACTACCAATCCTCAAGCAAGATAGAATTATATAGAAAGACGGTAGGTTTTTAGTTGGATAAGTTGCTAGGACCGCTCAACACAAAGTCAACCTTCCACTCTTAGATAAGAAAATTTCCCTCCATCTAGCAACCTTAAATAAGATTTTTTTTTTCCTCCACAAGTTTCCAAAACCCAACCCTTCTTTGACGTCTCCAAAAGGCATGCCCAAATAAGACAAGCACAGCTTACAAAATTTACACTTTACCCTGGCAGCAAACTATTGAAACCATGTGGCTTGGGATGTTTATACCACAAATTAGAATCTTCTCACAATATATCTTTAGGCTGGATGAAGCCTCGAAATCCTTGAGTGCCGAGAATAGATGGTGCAGCTCTTCCTTATCATCCTTGCATGAAAGCAATGTATCATTCACAGATTGTATGTGGGAGATATGTACCTTGTCCTTCCTTACAAGGTAAACCTCTAATAAACTGCCAGTCCCATGTCAAACAACCTACTTTGCTCACGACCTACTTTGCACACCACCCACAATATGTTTACAAATATGCCTTTATTTATTTATCTTACGATAGGCAAATTAGTCTGTCTCTAAATTTATCATTATCTTTTTCTTTATATGTTTCTTAATCTTTATTCTTATCTTCATACTTGGAGTATCTATCCAAACACGTGCGTAGTTATGAATCTTTTGTGATTAATACGGTTAAAGATGAACAAACCACCACTCAACCCAAAAGCTTAAGATGATGGGTTGGGTAAATTTAATTCATTTATGTGGATTCTCAACACTTCCCCTCACTTGTGGGCTTGGATAATTGACAAGGCCCAATAGGTGGAAATCATAA